GCTGCAGCCGGTTAGAGTTCGAGTGCCAGCAGCTGCACAAGTGCATCCCCAACTGGAAGCGGTGCGACGGCCTCCGGGACTGCCAGGACGGCACGGACGAGAGGAACTGCCGTAAGTGTGGGCCGAGGGGAGCATCATGCCTGGCTTTTTCCCTCGGGAAGCTCTTCGTGAGGACAGGGGAGCCACCGAGGAGCTGTACTGCTGGTGAAACCCTTGTGGTAATCTAGCGTTACAGTAAAACAGGAGCGCAGAGCCCACTCAGTGCCATTCCTATTAGAATTCTAGTTGTTTTCCACAGGATAAACTCCAGGTTTATCTGATGCCGCCATGCCACAAAATGTAGCACTGACAGCCTGACGCTCTGCCTGAGCTCTGTCCCTGATGCGCGGCCGCTCCGGCAGCACGCCTGCTTTTGGAGCAGCACTGGCACAGCAAACAGCCCAGTACTGCTGATGGAACTTCCCCACCTGGAGTTCTGAAACCGTTCTGCCTCTTTCAGCCACTCACAGCACCCTGTCATGCCCCAATGGTTATCGATGTGAGGACGGGGAGGCCTGCATTATGGCGACCGAGCGGTGTGATGGATATCTGGACTGCTCAGACAGCAGCGATGAGAATAACTGTACTGGTAAGCTGCAGCCCTCTCCCATTTCTCATGCCCTGCTCCATGTTGGCATGCAGAGGTGCTCTCCTGGATACGTGACCTTTTATTCTCAACACCCTAGATGTATCTGCCTCCGTTCAGTTGTCAAAGCTACCTCCTTGCCCATTTATAACCAGCTAGAAGCAGCTTCCTAGCCATCTTCTGCACTGACAACTTATCTTCTTGGACACAGAAAAATAGCTCTAAGATGGGTAGGAGCAAAGCTGTCTATTTCACGTGGCCCACAGGTGAAGGAATAGTCTCTAGCTCTGTCCTCCCTTGCAAGGTGACCCCGGTAGCCGTGGCAGGTGCCCTGCTGCCATCCCACACTGGCCTTCAGAAGCAGACAGGACGCACGCAGCAGCTCGCCCTGGGCAGATAACAGTGATCAATCGCTGTCTCTGCCCAGCCGTGAGATTCGCCTGCTTTCCTACTGAACTGCTTGGGGGTTTGAGCATCAGTCGGGCTTTAGTTCTTTAATTAAATATTGATTCGGAAAGGCTAGCAGGTTCAGGGCAGGGGGAAGGAGTTGCTGAAATTCATGGCTCAGCTGCTACGCCAAGGGGAAACCATCTCTTTTCCCTCAGATAGCTTGTCTTGCCGTGCCTGCCGGGTTTCGTTTCCAGTTGGTTAGGGAAAGGGAAGCAGCAGCATTTTTGCTCTGCTCCGCTCGGTTTCTGCACAGCGCGAGGAACGAAGCCGAGCACCCAAACGGGGCTAGGTCACAGTGCTTGGATGAGGGCTCCAACACGTGGGAGAGAGCAGGGAATGGCCTGGCAGGAGCAGGGCATGGGCTGTTTCAGATAAGCAGCCCTGCGCCTGCTACTGCCAGTGATGGGTTCATGGTGCTGTTATCCCCGAAATGCCCTCCCACAAGGTCGGGCGATTCAGCGCAGAACTCGCGTCACGGCCGACTACTGCCTTAACTACCAGCCTTCTCTGGTGTCCTGATGAACACGAGGCTGTGATAAGGAAAACCACACAAACAAAAGCCCGGGCTGGCTTACAGCGACAGCACAGATTTATCGCACAAGTAGAAAAGCGACTCGCGCTGACCAGTTTGCACTCCTACACTTCCAAAATGGGGTTGAGTATTTAATTGACAGACACACCTTGTCTTTACTTAGCGGAAAGGGGATGTTTGCATGATGCTGTTTGTGCTACGAACACAACTCTTTGTTTCCCTCTGATAGACTAACTTTTCCTATTGCCTGCCTAGATGACACGATCGTGTACAAAGTCCAGAACCTGCAGTGGACGGCCGACTTCTCCGGTGATGTCACTCTGACGTGGGCTCGCCCAAAAAGAATGTCCTCAACCTCTTGTGTCTACAATGTCTATTACAGGTACACTGCCCGCTGCACTGCGTGACTTATTGCTGTTTGTATCAGGGAAAGGCAAGGAGAAATCTTCTAATACTTCTTTGCAAAGGAGACCGAAACCACCTGTAACTGGAGGGCAGTTGTGAGGACACCACATGGTTGTTTACTCAGACAGTAGTGTAGCTATATTTTTATTTTTCCACTTGAGTCTTGCCTTTGTGGGACCACTAACAATGAGCACAGCACTTGTGGAAGAACCCCAGAGGACAGTGCTTATAAATCACTAAGCTGTGTTTAGTTCAGGCTTTCAAAGAGCATCTTTTCCAGACAGTGGAGCTTTACTGAGAAGAAAACTAAGCAGCAAACTCTTAGCATGCAGATAGATGGTTTCACCCTTTGCTACTAAACACCGTCCTGACTGGAGGGGTGCGACTCTCTTGCGCAGGATGGTCGGTGAAAGCATTTGGAAGATTTTGGAAACCCACAGCAACAAAACGAACAGCGTTTTGAAAGTCCTCAAGCCTGACTGTACCTATCAGGTGAAAGTCCAAGTGCAGTGTCTCAGCCGAGTCTACAACACCAACGACTTCATCACCCTCCGGACACCCGAAGGACGTAAGCACACCCGCACGGTCACAGAGTGGCCGGATGCCTGCCTCTTCAGCTTAGAAAGGAAATCCCTGTTACGAGCAAAAAGAGCCTTTCCACAGGCTCTCTGGGAATTGTGCTGGGTGGGGAAAAAGGGGTCACAGCTGCAGGAATAAGACACCTCTCATGAGCCAGGACCGTGTGGCCATTCCCGCTGTGTCCCAGCCTTTCAGGGAGGCAGCGCTTGTCTCACAATTGTCACTGTCACTAACACCTCTGTTTCTCTCCCTAGTACCCGATGCTCCCTTTAACCTTCAGCTGTCCCTGAAAAAAGAAGCTGAAGGAGTGGTGATGGGCTTCTGGAGCCCCCCTGTGAACGCCCACGGCCTCATACGGGAATTTATTGTGAGTCCTGCTGCCCGGTGGAGCTGGGGCCGGATTGGGACGGGCGGGACTGCTGGGGGCTCACCTGTCTGAACACAGCCATCTCTGTGGAGTGGTGGGGGGCCAGGAACAGGGCATTTCATAGGGAAAATCTGCTGAGAGTGTCAGGCAAGTTGGGAGAAGAAATGCTGCAGGTAGCGACACAGCCCTCAACTTGATAATTTCTTTCCTCTCTGCTGTTCTAAGCCTTTGGACTTCTTTCTACTAACATACTGAAACAGAAGGACCTGTCATCCTGTGGTACTGTTGACTGTGGAGCCCTCATCCCTTGCTTTGGTGCTTCTAGGTGGAATACAGCAGCAGTGGATCCAAGGAGTGGTCGTCCCTTAGAACCACCAAGAACTACACTGAGATCACGAACTTACAGGTCAACACATTGTACACAGTTAGAGTGAGTATTTTCAAAGCTCTGTCTACGCATGCTCTCATTACTTTTCACTAAATGGTCCGAGTCCTGCACAGTCAAGTACTTGCTAAAGAAACGTGTTATTAAAATCCTGCCCTTTAACGTTGACCCGCAGTGGGGGAGCCTGGCATTCGCACTGCCAATGTATATAGTTTCAAGGCCTGACTTAAGGCCCTTGATTTGCTCCTGCTCCCAGAAGGCCAGGCTGTATTCTGAAATCTGCACTAATTGCCCATTCCAATGTCACTGCAATTGCACTGGATCTGGGCCAGAGATAAATTTGGTCCTTACTGGGTCACTGGGGGAAGAAGCAGATCTGCCTATGGGGAATATATGCATACGGGAGAAGCTGGGTAATTATAGACAGAAGTAGTAAGAATAGGAAATTAAAGTCTGCACAGCAAGCCCTGGACACGTATACACTGCCATTGCCCGTCCTCCCTGTGCTGAAGGAGCGTGGGTTCTTGGGGGAGCTCACTAGGAGGTGGGATAAATGCCCCCCACTCGCCGAGAATCTCAGTCGGTTGGAGTGAGTCTTTCCTTCCTCTACTAATCACTTCCCAAATAAATCTTTGGAACTAGATTCAGCACTCGCACAGAATTCTCCGGTGTGGTTCTTACCTATGCAATGGCCTGTAAGAGTCCAAAGATTCCTCATAAAGATCTCAGAGAGCAGTTATCTGCAAAGAGGATGCACCACCCTCTTAGATTCCTTTAATTGACTTAAACTAGTCTGCTTTATCTCTGTAATAAGCATTTTATTGCCAAGTAATTAAGCTATTGTTTGCTTCAAAGTCCTTTTCCCATGAGCTCTGCCACATCCGTAACCTTGCTCTAACCTCATTCTCTGCTTGCATTATACAATGTTGGCGGCGTACGTGTGTTCCTATTAACTAACCCTCTTATTTGAAAAGGTTGCTGCAGTAACTAGTCGAGGAGTGGGAAACTGGAGTGATTCAAAATCCATAACCACCGTAAAAGGCAAAGGTAAATGTGTTTTCAGTCAACTTGGACAACATAGCAAAAAGAGATAAGCCAGAAGTGTCAGCATCAGCATACATAACCAGCTCCTAGTCCTTTACCTTTCCCTATTGCATGGGGTTGGGGCTTACAAGATGGGGGAAGCCTGCATTTTACCCATCTCCTCTTGATAAGTATTTACTTTTTTTTGTGCCGTGGTAACAGCTGTTTCTCCCTTCCAGTCATTCCTCCACCTGTCATACATGTTGAAAGCTACAGCGAAGACTCTATAAGTTTCAGTCTAAAAATGTCTACTAATATTAAGGTAATATTTTAACCTTTATTTCTGAAACTAAAATAAAGGAAAAAAAAGGTCTGCATTGGGTACATGGTAAATACCGGATGGGATAAGCTGTCACCTACTGAAGTATTGAAATTACCTTTTCAAACTAGTTATTTCACACCAAATCATTTCTTACCACTCATAAACCACCCCAGCTCCCTGAATTACGATGGAAAAGGACAATGCAAAGAGCTTCAGCATTGACTCTCTCATTGTATGCAATAATAGCTGAACTGATGGTTTGTATTGTGTGCCCTTGTTGCTTGACAGGTCAGGGGGTATGTTGTGAACATCTACTGGACATTCGATACACACAGACAGGAAAAAAGGACTCTGGTCATAGAAGGAGAAAAGTCCATCCAAAAAGGTAAATTATGCACAAAGTGTAAAACTCTCCTGTAGTCAACACCAGACAGAAGGTTTTACAGAAGGCTATAGGATTTTTTTTTCTTTTGTTTGCAATTAATAGTTTTTGTTTAGGAAAGAATAAATCTTGAGAGGACAAACCAGCAAATCCTTGGCCTCCCTTCTTAGGACTTGGAGGTTTCAAGCGGATTTGGGATTTATCCCCCAGAGCTGCACTATCCTTTTCTCATCATATGGGATTTTGTTTGTAGTTCCTTTTCTACTCTGGAAAAGGTCAACAATTTCTTAGCCCTGTATACAGTACATGTTCCTAATACTCAGATTACTTTCTAGTCTGGAAAAATCACTGGTGTGTGCAGTCTAGATACAGAAAAGCATCCCGATACGGAAAAGCATCCCGATACGGAAAAGCACCCCGATACGGAAAAGCACAGTCTAGGTTAGGTACCAGAGTCCCAGGTGCTCCTGTATAAAGGAAATTTCTCAGAACGAACCCAAGCACACACCAAGAGAGGCAGGGTCCTGTTTGATGCTGCTGACCGTTTCCTAGTGCTCTCACCCTGCCATTGCAGTACTTTGCCTCACCTAATAGTGCACGTTTCTCTTCTTGCTTAGTGGCAAATTTGACAGCACACACCCCCTATGAAATCTCTGCTTGGGCTAAGACGGAGCTAGGCGACAGCCCTCTGTCTTTTGTACATGTGGTGACCAGTGGCACAAGACCTGCGTCGCCGAGTCTCAAAGCCAAGGCCATCAACCAGACGGCGGTGGAGTGCAGCTGGACTGGACCGAGGAATGTCGTAAGGCACCGACTCTCTTTTCTCACCAGGATGGGGTCTAGTTAGAGCCTCAAAACACAAGCAAAATCTTATTATAGGACTATTTGTAGGGATTGAATTGCAAGGTCCTGAAAATCTTATGCATAAAAAATGAGGGAAAGCACCTTGTGCCGTTTAAATAGACGCAAGGAAAGCCTCGTCTGCTTGTTGAGCCGCTGATCCAGCAGAGCAGCGGCTGAAGTACTGTTAGCATGACGCTCTGGTGATCTCTCAGTTGAATGCTGCATTATCAGAGCTGAGCCCAGGATTTTAGGGTGAGGAGTGCAGCGTCAGGTGAACAGATTGAGCCTGACCTCGGACAGGACAGCTTGCCCAGAAGAAAAAAGGTCTTTATGTCATGTCCCTAAAAAGCAACAGCCAGTAAAAGCTTGGGTGGGAGCTCCCGCCTTTGCCAAAAGCTGTACCGTCCCTATTGTGCTCTTCTTCCACAGCTCTATGGCATCTTCTATGCCACATCCTTCCTAGAGCTGTACAGAAGCCCTCACAACACCACCACGACCTCCCACAACATCACGGTGCTCGTACAGCGGGATGAGCAGTACCTCTTTCTGGTAAGCTGCTTTTCCGTTCCCCCTCCTCTCTGCACGGCGGGCTCTCACTTGCTGCTGAAGGGTGCAGGCATTAACCACTGTGTCATCCCTTCAAGGTCCGTGTGATGTCTCCCTACCAAGGGCCACCGTCCGACTACGTTGTGGTGAAGATGATCCCTGACAACCGGCTTCCCCCCCGGCACCTCCACTCGGTGCACACCGGCAAGACATTCGCGGTCATTAAGTGGGAATCGCCCTATGATTCGCCCGACCAGGACATGGTAATATCTCACAGCACCTTCCCCCACCCCTTTACACGCAAAACTCTGGCTCAAAGACAGACCCTTGCCCTGCTGCTGGTGGAGAACTGGGTCTAAGACGAGGTCTGCCCTCCATCTAAATAGTCATCCTCAAAAGAGTTGGATTTGGGATGTCTGTTGCTGACCAAACCTAGCAAGCTTGGGCATGTGCTAAAGCACCTTTCTGGGCTTTGGCTTTTCCTGGGGCCCGGGCTGGCCACAGCAGCAGGGCAGGTGTTGGGCTCTGCCTCCTGCCCCAGCGCAGCCCCGACAAAGCTCGGTTCTGTTGTCTGGCACGCCAGCATATGGTCACGTCTCGCTCCATTGAAGGCAAGCAATTTTCTCAGCAAGCTTTCTGCTCCTATTCTGGTCCAGAGACTTTAATAGCAAAGGTTTAAAGGTATAAATATTCCCAGCCAAACTGGAAACTTTGACAAGGCAGGACTTTGCATTGCATCCTTGTGATTCATTAAGAAACCTGAGGTTTTCCTTCTGCCCTCATTCATTCCAGTAACTGCATTTTCTGTATCTGTAAATACTGATCTCAGACAGGGATCCAGCTAGTCCAGCAAAAGGCTTGAAATCTTATTTCCCAGGTTTTCTGTAGAGCGTGGGCATGGTTTAATTCAAGTTTTGTCTCCTCACATCTAACGTCCTACCACTGTATGAGATTGCTAGCAGGACTGTGGGAAAGTAAGATCTTTCACTGTGTGTGCCTTTCCTCCCCCTCCAGTTATATGCTGTTGCAGTTAAAGATTTAGTGAGAAAAACAGATAAAATCTACAAAGTGAAAACCCGGAACAGTACGGTGGAGTACACCATCAAGAAACTTGAACCAGGAGGCAAATACCACGTGATTGTCCAACTGGGAAACATGAGCAAAGAATCCAGCATGAAGATCAACACAGGTAAAGGGACGAGAACTGCGGGGTGGGTGCCTGGGGCCCATCCACCTCACTCCTGGGCTGGTCAGAGGCTGCAGGAGCGTTCTGGCATTGCTTAGTCTTCTCCCCCAGCCAAAGCCCAATTCTGAGAAGCCTTCCTGCAGCTCCCAGGCAAGGCAGCTAAACCCCCGAACAATGGCAGCAGAGAGGAAGCCTCTCAGATAATATCTGGGAAGTTTTTCTCCTGCCTAAATGGGGAAAGACCTGTCTGGCAGGCTGTGTAGACACCGTGAAGCACCATTTGTGGTCAACTACTTTTAAAACCTGACCTGCCTGCTGTTTTTTCTCACTTGCAGTTCCGCTGTCAGCACCAGACGCCTTAAAAATTATAACAGAAAACGACCATATTCTGCTTTTTTGGAAGAGTTTGGCATTAAAGGAAAGTAATTTCAATGAAAGCCGGGTAAGTTGCATTACTGGTCTCGGTGTTTTGGGTGGTCTGAGGTGGATCCTAAGAACAGAGTGAGCCAGAGACCAAAATCATCTCTCCTCCCTGACCTGGCCAAGGTCAATGCACACTGACAGGGGTGCTTGGAGGAGGCTCCACATTGCTCTCTCCCAGCTGATAGCCCAACACATTTCATCAGAGCTAGATTCAGGAGCAAAAACAAGTTCTAAAGCCCTGTCAGAAGGAGCAAACCTGCCCTCTGCAGCCGAGTGATTTGGCATTTGTGCCTTTGCTTCCAACCCTCAGGGTTATGAGATTCACATGTTTGACAGCTTGATGAACATCACAGCTTATCTGGGGAACACCACAGAAAACTTCTTCAAAGTTTCCAACCTGAAGATAGGTCACAACTACTCATTCACCGTCCAGGCCAGGTGCCTGTACAGCGGGCAGATGTGCGGCGAGCCAGCCACGCTTCTCTACGACGAACTAGGAACTGGTAAGTCCTGGGGCATTTTCCCCTCCTGAACGAGGACTAGTGAAAGCCTCACAACCTCTAGAGAAACGTGCCATCGGTTGCAAACGGCCCTTCTCTCCCTCCCTCGTCGTAGGTGAAGACGCCTCCGCAGCGAAAGCTGGTAGATCCACGGATGTCGCAGCCATCGTGGTACCGGTGCTGTTCCTGTTGCTGGTGACCCTGGGCATTGGCTTTGTGGTGCTGTACATGAGGCACAGGCGGCTGCAGAACAGCTTCACTGCCTTTGCAAACAGCCACTACAGCTCCCGCCTGGGCTCGGCCATATTCTCCTCCGGAGACGATTTAGGTACGTAGCCTCCCAGGACAGCCTTGAAATCAGCGCAAGACCTAACTTCTCCATCATGCTTTGGGCCACCACTGCGTAAAAATCTCTACGGGTAGCAAATATTCAAACGAGAGCTTTGAAGGCCGAAGTGGAGCAGGGTTCCATGTGAACAGCAGTTGAACATGGGTCAGTCGGTCCTAAGCGGTAGGCGAGCGCCGTTCCGAAAGGGCAGGCGATGTGCTTTTTTTTTTTTTTTTACCTCTCCTCGAGTACTGTGTCCAGTTTTGGTCACCACAGTACAAGAAGGACATCGAGGTGCTGGAGCGGGTGCAGAGAAGGGCAACAAGGCTTGTGAGAGGTCTGGAAAACATGCCCTATGAAGAGCGGCTGAGGGAGCTGGGTTTGTTTAGTCTGGAGAAGAGGAGGCTGAGAGGAGACCTTATTGCCCTCTACAACTACCTAAAAGGAGGCTGTAGTGAGGCTGGGGCTGGGCTCTTCTCTCTAATTACTAATGACAGGACAAGGGGAAATGGCCTCAAGTTGCGTCAGGGTAAGTTTCGATTGGATATTCGGAGGAAGTTCTTTCCTGAACGAGTGGTGAGGCACTGGAACAGGCTGCCCAGGGAGGTGGTGGAGTCACCAACTCTGGAGGTGTTTAAAAAAAAAGTAGATCTAGCACTTGAGGCTATGGTGTAGTGGTTAGATATGCTGGGATGAAGGTTGGACTGGATGATCTTCAGAGGTCCCTTCCAACCCCCAACATTCTGTGATTCTGGGTTTGGTCTTACCCTAAGAGCACGAAGCTGGCCCAGGGTAAGTGTTATCTGCAGCTTGACTTAAACCACTTGCTCTAACGCAAATCGGTTCAAAGTTGGTTATAACAGATATAACAACCAGGTAGGAGCGTGAGCGAGGCCACAATAGAGCGGTTTTGAGGGCAGTTTGATGGCCAGCTCCAGTACCCTGCTTAGTCGTGCCCTGGAAGAACGCTGCAGGCAGCGTAACAGCTCTCTGGGTTTGTTTTTCAGGAGATGAGGATGATGAAGCCCCAATGATAACCGGATTTTCAGATGATGTTCCCATGGTCATCGCATGAAGCGCGTTTCTGACTGTACAAACCAAATGGTGTAAATATTTTATTTGATAAAAATAGTTGATTGTTTATTTTAAAAATGCACTTTGAGTTGCAATATGTTATTTTTATATGGGCCAAAAAAAATTTTAAAAATACACTTTGTAGTGATCAACTGTGAATTGCAGACTAGGTTGGTTTAGCAACAAATTGCTTCGATTTAACATTAATTTAGTCTTACAAGGCTATGCTTGCTGGGCATGCTTTTAAGTCTGTGAGATTTTTCGTTGACTAAATTGGCTACTCATTTTATTTTTCTAAGACAAGAATAAATTTATTTAAAAAAATTCAGGAGATTATATATGTAGAGAGAGATAAGTAATATAGTCCCTGAAGGTTTTGCTTTTACTTTAAAAAAAAAAAAATCCTTTGGACTTTGTTTTATATGAAAGTATTTTTGTTGTGTTAATTTATTGGGAAATCTGCTTGAGCACAGATTTCCAAAGTCGTCAGACATTGTACACATTCTTGTGTAGAACATGTGCCACTTTATCTTGCAAGGCAGTAGTATCTTGGCATCCCCATCATTGTTCTTGCCATGATAATAAAAAAAAAAATCCTTATTTTTACATTTCCCCCCCCCATTATTAAAAGACAATCCTTCAGCAATCTCAGCCCAAGTTAAGATACTGCAGCACATACTTTATGTGTGAGTTCGGCTTCCTGCTGCCGTACCTATAAGCCAAAAGCATCCCTGCCGAGGGTCGTGCAAAGCCCTGCACACGAGCATGACACAGCACGGCCCGTTAGGGTGAGCTGCTGCCCGTGCCCAACTGTCCTATGAGTAATGCCACTGGAAAAACTTGGCCACTACCCGCAGTTGAAGTGCACACCTTAAAACAAGCTTCCCAGCTGGTCAGGACACCTTTGCTGTGTGGAGCTCCTCCACGATGCTAATGTGTCGGTGGGACAGAAGAGGGAGCCTCCGCTGTGTGCAGCTAGGAAATGGCTTTGCGCACAGATTTTCCACAGCCGGTAATTGTTAAACATCTGAATTCATTTGGTTAACAGCAAGGGATTCGCTCCTCCTTCATTAGCATTTCCTGAAAGCAGCTGTAGCTGTACCTTCAGCTTTAGGAGCAATACATAGAGATATATATATGCATAAATGTTATTTTGCCATCACTAGTCATCTCACGTTTCCAGTAGACATAATGCTGGCTACAGAGCTAAGCAGTAGAAACGTCTGGTTCCTACTGCTGAGCTTTTTTTTGTGGTAGCAAAATGCAAACCTCACCACCACGAACCCAACTACTTGCCAACCCAAGAGCGGCGCCACGAGCGGATGTTCACGGGTCACGCCTGTCCCTGCTCTATATATGCAAGCCTTCACACCAGTAAAACACAGCACACTGTCTTGTCACACTGTTTTCTTTGTTTAGACCAAAAGTATTTTTGCCATGTAAATTAAGTTATAATTGCAGTCTTCCTACAGATGAAACGAGAGAGGCCAACTATGTTTTGATACGTGACTCATGCATTGAATTTCACATACAGAAAATGTATAAAGATTCTGTATGGTTTGATACTCTGTAGAAATACTAACTCTATTTTCAATTACTGGTGATAATCTCAGTGACAGGTTGGGTTGTTTTTTCCCCCCAAAGCTGGGACCAAGCTATAATCAGATTTTTATAAGTAGCAGCAAGCTTGCATAGTTGCAGTATTTTTACTGTATTAGTGGGTCAGGTACTGTTCAGGAATAAAAAATTTGAGTAAATCAACCCAGCATGTATAGCTCAGTTTGCCTACAGCTGCACAGAGAGACCAGAATCTGACCCAGAGGCTAAACTATTCTAAAGATATAAATCAAAAGATTTTACATGGGAAAGAAAGCCTAAAAGCAGAGAGAGAGAATCTTGAAGCTATATTTCTGGCACAGGTAACTGAAAACTACAGTGTAGCATCCTAGAAGGTGGTGAGAATTACTATTGGTTAAATACTGCTGCTTCACTCCTCCAGGGTAAATTCTGCTCCAGTAAGGCGAGTAGAGCTCAGCCCGTCTCTATCTGGAAGATAGATGCCAAGGGGGACCCTTGTAACCAGAAATCCCTCCCTTGGATGCTTCCGAGCATCATAGAATCCTAGAATGGCCTAGGCTGGAAGGGACCTTAGAGATCATCTAGTCCAATCTCCCTGTCATGGGAAGGGATGCCACCTCTCGACTAGACCATCAGGTCACTCCGGGCTCCTTCGTAGCCATGGCTCAGCCACACTGGCACAGAGCTCAGCCTGTTGCCAGCAAAGCATTTTGCTGTAATACTGACTCTCTGGGTTACCTGTGCCTCAGTTTGGGCAGAACAGAGCCCTCTGCGCTGGGTCTGCGGCGCTTTGGGGACGCTGCAGCAGGCAGGCTTTCTGCAAATTTACCTTACGTAGTGTGACACACCGACTCGCCCTGCCCTCCCCGACTTCCCCTTCGCTGCAAAAGTCACCACTGTGCTCCCAGCAAAGCAACTTCACAGGGCTAGTGTATTTTATATAGAGATAAAGTCTAAGCCCCAGGTGGGGAACGAGCAGAATAGATACGGTTCTTGGTAAATTGTATATTTTTATGAACTTTTGAAGCACGGGATCTTGTTCACAGAGACGTATAGGGGGTGGGAGGGCTCTGGTGTAAATATGGTACACGGATGTGGACGCATATTTTGTTCTGGTTTTCTTTCAGTAGCCTTATGCTATGTGACATGCCTCGTTACCCTAACTTTTGGGAAGCCACTTGGGTTTACCTCACAGGAACCCAGTGAGATGTTTGGATCCATAAGGAAAAAAAAAACCTACCCTAGGTTAGGAGGAACTACTTCTGGTTAATTTGCGTTTGCATCCATTTCAGATTTCACTGCAGATGCCCGCTGGCTCTCTTAAGTCCATTTGAAAAAAAAGACTGAGGTTGAACACTAAAATCCAGTGGGGCTTTAGACTGGGAGGTTGGTTTCTAGGGTGTTTTTATGTGTCTTTTTGGGGATGTCTGTTTGGGCTTTTACAAGAAGGGAGAAGGAGGTACCATTTTACAGGTCTGTATTCTGAAACACCCATTCAAGGTCGAAAAAGCAATCCCTTCCATGATGTATAAATCACATCACTCCTCTGTCGATCGGCTGTCTCCTCTGTCAAATGGCTGCGGCGAGCTGCTCGCCCCAGCTCCTGCAGCAACCAGTACCCTGGGTAAAACCCTGAGAGGAATTCAGAGAGGGGAGAAGCATGTCGTGCTGACCACAGGGGAAAACTCCGCACGCAGATGCTTCGTCTGCTGGCACGCTGCAAGTTCACAGCCCGGCTAACCCTGCCACAACTCGTTCCCTCTGCTCCTGCCTTGACACCGCGTTAGCAGGAGAGCACTGCAGCTTCACTACAGGGAAAAGACTGTTTTCCTTGGACAGACTTCAAGCTCCATATAGATGTATACGAGCGCGTACCCAGCCAGAAAAAGGGAGGAGAGAGCACACAGGTGTGCGGGAGCACGTGCTGGGAGGATGCCGGCTGCCAGCATCCACACCATTGCCTTTTGGCCTCCTGACCAAGAGACCTTAGCCTTTGCAGGTCACTTTGGTGGTCACACAGTGGTATTGCTTCCTGCTGGTTTCTAGAAACCCCAGGAGAAGTGAGTTGAGAGCTCCTAGGTGGGTGGAGAGGTGTCTGCCCATCAGGTCAGGGTAACTTACCCTATTTCTAGTCACTAAAAGCAGCCCCCAACTCACATCAGCCACCCGAGAAACGCCCCCGAGCCAGCAGCTTTCTCTGAGCAGCACAACCTTTCCTCGCAGGGCGGGTTTCGGCCTTGGGATCTGCATCCCTGAAATCACTTTGTAGGTACAGAGTAGTATTTAATGACAAACTTCACTAATTTACTAGTGGAAATATAAAACTGTTCAGGAAAGACCTGAATAGCATTTTCCAAAATAACTTTCAAGTCTCCTTCAAATGGACTTCAGAAGGGAAGCGGCGCGATCGACTTAGTTTTGGACCCAGAGAGCATCTTCATTACTGGAACTAGCTGTAACATTTATAATTAATCATTTAAAACATGCAGCAGTCTACAAAAGCAGCCAGTCTCTAATGAGTTTTTTAGAGGTAGCGTCAAATTCTAATCTGGTTCCTTAAGTGAAGTTTAGTGTCATACCATTTGAATTGCTACTCCTTTACTCCTGTTTTTCTTTTTTTTATTTTTCCATTCACTGATTTCTGCTATGTTATTATTGCACAATTTTGAAGGAGTTTTTGTCTGTCAATTTTTTTCCACTTAATAATAAAAATGGACTGGGTAAACAAAACTATTTCTGGTTTCCAGAATTATTGTCTAGCCTCTGTGTGTTAGGTGCAATAAAAACAAGACTTTTTTTGTTTTACGTTAGAAGGACACATTGCATAACCTGACAGGGTAACCAAGCTTTCTGCAGAAGGAGCAGCAGAGTCTTACTGTTGCGGTTTTCAAAGGAAAGGTCCCTGTTGTCCCACTCCCTGCCTTAAGGGAGCTATTAATCTATTAATCGTTTCCCAGTTTGTGATCTTAACGGAGTTACCAAATGGGTACCTTGTCTCGTTCTACTGCTCACGAGGAGTGAAGAATCCAATTCAAGTGGTTCTTCCTCCATTCTGGTGCTATCCAGCCCTAAACCTGACACATCAGGTTCTGATGCTGATCTGTTCAGAGAATCAGCACCAGAGTCAGGTTCAACTTCAACAGGGGGGGATAAATCAGAACAGGAGCTATAGGAGCTGATGGTGCTGTATCTAATTTGGGCCCCATATAGTCCTGTTCCTTTTCTTTTTCTTTTAAAGCCAAATGCTTACGGCACATTTTGGTGGAGGCACAGGCTAAATAATTCTCCTCTACTTTCTTTTCTTTTACTCGTAAAGGCATTTCTTTGTCACAAGGCTGATCATTCATCTTACAATCTCGATACCATTCTGGCTTTTCTCAAAGGTAAAAGAATAAATCAACATAGAGAAGCTCATCCCATTTCCCTTCCACAAAACAACATTAATTGCAAAATAGTATAGTAATTCAAAGTCCCATTCAGAGGCAATTTCTCACCATCTTCTAAATCATATAATAAGCATTCACGATTACAATAATCAATAAGTAAATCTTTTCGAAAGTCCTCCTTTAACTCCTTCCAGTGTGCTTGGAGACATCCCAGAGGTGAGGTTTTAGGGATGGACTCCTGATTTCTCCCAAATAACTTAAGAAGTTTCAACATTTTCCTTCTTTTATCTCACAATCATTTCGTCCTTACGCTTCGCTCGTCTCCGGCCGCTCCCCTCGCGGGGTGACGGAACCGCGGATCAAAGCTCCACACTCACTTCGTGCGCAATTGCACGTCTCAATCTCACACACGCAGTTTGCAAAGACACAGATTACAAC